TGTTGCAGCGAGGCTTTTAAAGTTAAAGCATATTCAGGTGACTATATAGATATGTGTATTATTATTTTTGGCAGTATTACAGATGTCCCCCGTGCCTGTTACTGTTCTTAAGTAAGGCTTCTCTAGAATAATGTGTAAGTATCATCAAGCAATTTTTAACATTTCTTGGATAATTTTGACTTTCCGTTCATTGCTCGTGTCATAGTTTATATTCGTTCATGGTTTTTCTTGGATGTACAGTCTTTTATTCTAGGATCAGTCCAGTTTGAGTTCGTGTGTTTAATAACAGCAATAATAAGAAACTTAAGTAAGTACAAAGATAATATACCAAACACTTCTTTTGTTGCCCCCCATTTTTACCGCATTACCTCAGAGTGACAGCTGTTGGTATTTTGTCATAGTTACTTCAAGTCTTTTTCAAATTCAGTAAGTAAAATATTGTAGATAAATTTGAAGTTCTTTTTGCCTTTTATCTCCAGTTCCATCTCTTCATCTGTTGAAAAAAAATCTTGGTTGCTTCCGAGTTTGGGCAACTACGAGTAAAGCCACTAGAAACATTCATGGGCAGGTAATTTTGCGTGGACATAAGTATTCAACTAATTTGGGTAAATACCAAGGAGCACAATTATAGGATCATATGGTAACAATATGTTTAATTTTGTAAGAAGCTGCTAAACTGTCTTTTAAAGTGGCTGTGCCATTTTTTGTCACATCCAGCGTGACACCTTCCCACAGGGCTGAGTGGGAACGGGGAGGGACTGAAAATAAGACAAAAGAGACGGAAAGTGGGATCAGGAGGTTCCCCGGATGCTGATGGCATACAGGCGACACTAAACAGGCTTTGCAGCTTTATTTTCTACAGCACTTGATTGTCTGTAAATCATTCTTAGCACGGATATCACTGTTCTCTTTCTGCCTGGCCGCAGCCACAGTTCCCCCGCAGTGCCCCCAGGCCCGGGCAAACCTGTTTGCTCACATCTTGGTGCACATGTCTCAGGGTTTCCTGTTTACGGGGAATGAGGCCTAGCCTTTGGCTGAACCTCTGCGACTGTAAGGGCTTTGCCAGCATACAGCCCAGTTCCCCACAATTTTTCATGTTGTATTTTGATTTTTGGCCATTTCAGTAGGTATGTAGTGGTATCTCATTGTTGTATTAATTAGCACATCCCTGCTGATATATGTATAATGTGGAGAATCTTTTCATACACTCATTTGCCATGTCTATATCCCCTTTGGTGAGATGTCTGTTCAGACTATTTGCCCATTTTAAAAACTGGGTTTATTGTTGAGTTTTAAGAGTTCTTTGTATATTTTATATAGCAGTACTTCATCAGATATGTGTTTTACAAAAATTTTCTCCCAGTCTCTTCATTCTCTTAATGGTCTTTTGCAGAACAGAAGTTTTAAATTTTAATGAAGTCCAATATACCAATTTTTTTTCATGAATCATGCTTTTGGTATTGTATCTAAAATGTCATTACCAAACCCAAGGTCACCCAGATCTTATTCTATGTTGTTTTCTAGAAGGTCTGTGGTTTTGCATTTTATATTGGGTTTATTAGGCATTTTGAGTTAATTTTTATGAAAGGCATAGTCTGTTTCCAGATTCCTCTCTCTCCATGGAGATGCCCAGTTTTACACCACCATTTGCTGAAAAGACTGTCCATTATTTGTTGAATCGCCTTTGCCCCTTTGAATATTTCAGAATTTACATTAATATCTTTACTGTTAAATTCAGTGAAGACATAGTCCCTTCGATCCTGTCATTTTCAGAAGCCGGCTGCGTTGTGAATGGAGCAGAGGGACAGGTGAATGGGTGGGGAGGCTGGGGGATTCCTCTCCAGTGGCAACACTTTCTGTCTCCTAGGTGCATCCTCTGCACTTCCCTGAAGCAACAGGTGGGCTAGATAGACCTGGGTGACCAGAATGCAGTGTGGAGAGAACTGCTCCAGTTGTGAAGGAAGAAGAAGAAAGTGACAGAAAGGGGCTTGAGGATGGGGAATGACCATGCCTGCGATAGAGGAGGGCTGGCAAGGCTAGAGACGCAGCAAAATGCCCTATAAATATTCGTTATCAAGTTGAGGAAATTTCCCTCTACTCTAGTTTGCTGAGAAACTGTTTTTTTGTTTGTTTGTTTGTTTTTAATATATCTTTATTGTTTTCAGAGAGAGGAAGGGAGAAGGAGAGAGAGAGAAACATCAGTGATGAGAGAAAGTAATTGACTGGCTGCCTCCTGCTGTAGACTGAGCCCGAAGCCCAGGCATGTGCCCTGACGAGGAATTGAACTGAGGTCTCCTGGATCCTAGGTCTCCTGAATCCTAGGTCGATGCTCAACTGCTGAGCCACGCCTGGCCGGGCAAGAAACTGTTTTTTGGCAGTTGAATTTTAGAGTTCTTTTTATATTCTAGGTTTGGGTCATGTGTCAGATACATGATTTGTAAATATATTTTCCATGTATATAACTTGTCTTTTCATTTTTTAACAGGATCGTCTGCAGAGCAAAGTTTTAAATTTTTTATGACGTTCATATTATTGATTTTTTCTTTTAAAAATTGTGTTTCTAGTGTCATCTAAGAGCTCTTTACCAAGCCCTAGAGTCATTAAGAGCTTCTCCTGTGTTATCTTATAAAAATTTTATCATTTTACATTTAACTCTATGATCCATTGTGAGTTGTTATTATTATTTTTTGTAAGGTGTCAGGTATGAGGTTTAGGTCGAAGTTATTTTATTATTTTATTTTATTTTAATTTTTGCCTATGGACATCCAATTGCTTCAGCACCGTTTGTTGAAAAGATGATTCATCCTCTAGTGAATTGTTTTTGCAAAATCAGTGGACTGTGCTTATATGGGACTATTTCTGGGTTCTTGATTCTCTTCCATTGACTTAAGTGTAATTTCTCTGCCAATCCACACTGTCTAGATTACTGAACTATATATGTACATATGTATTAAGTCTTAATATCAGGTAGAGTGATTCCTTCCACAGTTTTCTTTTTCAAAATTGTGTTAACTAATTTAGTTCTTGTGCCTTTCTGTAAATATTTTAGAATAATTTTGTATGTACAAAAAAATCTTGCTGGGATTTTTATAGGAATTGTGTTAAACATGCATATCACTTTGGGGGAGAATTAATAGCTTTCCTATCTTGAGTGTTTCAATCCATTAACATAGTATTTCTCTCCTTTACTTAGGTCTTCCTTGATTTCTTTCATTTGGAATTTTCAGCATTAGTCCTATACAAGTTTTGTTAGAGTTATACCTAAGTTTTTTGGGAATGACTGCAAATGATATTATAATTTAAAATTTTTTTTTTCCACATGTTCATTTCTAGTACATAGAAATACAATTGATTTTTTAAGTTGATTTTTAGATAGAGGAAATGTGTGTGTGTGTATGAGAGAGAGAGAAACATTGATGTGAGAGAGAAACATCAATCAATTGCTTCCTGCATTTGATTTACCGGGGATTGAACCCAAAACCTAAGTATGTGCCTTGATGGGGAATCAAGTCCACAACAGTTTTTGGTGTATAGGCCAACACTCCAGCCAGCTGAGCCACCTGGCCAAGGTTGTGGCTCCTAATTTAAATTCTCTTGCAAAACACTCTGGTTGACCCTGCTCATTTATTGTCTCTCTTATATCAGCCAACTCAAGAGTTTTGCTGGCTCGAGGCTGGTCAGCTGGGGCCATCTAGTAGGAGGGAGCAGAGGTCCCTGTAAGGCCAAGCCTTCTACATGTGTGGGAGGTGGACAGGTCTCTAGTTAGAGGACTCCATGAGGATGGTGCTTGTAGTGCCAGAAATACCTCCATATATGGATTAATATTCTAACAAGGAGGAGAGAAAAGGAAATTTGAGTAACCCAGACAGTCCATGCTGAAGCCCAAACCATCCCACACAAGTTCTGGTTGTCAGGTGTAGGAGACACAAAAAGAGAAGGTGGAGAAGGGTTTTTAGGAAACAAGAGCCTTGCCCAGTAAGAAATTCCAACCTTGAGTCTTTGAAACCTTCAAAGTGTTTGGACTGTTTCCACAATGAATTACCTATTTATCTGAAAAGCCAGAAACAAAGCAGGCTCCCTACTGGGAACTTCCAGACACAAAGGAGCCCCTTCTCTCACCTGTCCCCTGGTGCTGTCTTCCAGAACATCTGGAGATGTGTGCCTGGGAGGAGGGTGGGTCAGAGCATGACTCACCTGGAAAGTGGGTTGGCAAGGCTTGTGTGTGGGCAGGTGACATAGTAGTTTTTTTCTTAAGTTCTTTAAAATTTGAAGGAAATCACTACTTTTATTTTTCTGTTGTACCAATATAGGCATTTAGTGCTATGGCTTTTTCTCCATGTGCTGTTTAAGCTATATCATGGTAATTTGATGTGATCTAAACCATAAATCTCCAACAGACAGGTTCTCTGTGTCTCTCACAGCACTTAGTGTGCCCACAGTGAACACTCATTGAACATTTCCTATATTAGTAAATCAAAGAATGGAATGTTTTGATCACATTCTTCAGTCTGTAATCACGCAAAAGAGAAAAATGAATGTGCAGGTGGCAGCACAACCCTAAGCATTTTGAGAGCCCCCTCGACACCATGGTACTGTTGAGTTTTATTGATTTGGTCAACTACTCCCAAATCCAAGTTCTTGGAGATCACAATGACGTAGAATCCATTGGTCTCTTTTTTCCCCATTTACCAGATCTCCCCCCTGCCCTGGCCATCTTCATTTCTACCCCTGTCCCAAGAACGTGTATAGTCCAGAAGTTCAACCACTTCCTACTAATGATCTAAATATATAGCCCCTGCTCCCTTTTACATTTTTGGAAGTAAAGGTTTTGGTTTTTGTTTTGAAAAATTTCAAACTTACAAAAAATACAGAGGATAACATAATGAACACAAATATGTCCACCACCCAAATTTAATTGAAGATGTCAATTAAAAAACGTATTGTGCCGATAAGTGATACCACTAACCACCCAGTTGCCTATGTTAAAAACCCAGTTACTAAATTGTAATCCTTTCTTCTGATTTCTATCTTGTCGGGGCAGACCATGCTAATTTTATTTCCTAAATATCTGTCCTATATGCTCAAATTCTCTTCATCCCCACTGCCGCTACCGTGGCCCAGGGCTCCATCACCTCTCACATAGTTTACTGCAGAATCCTCCCCCCACAATTGCTTTCTTCAACCATGTTTCCTTTCAGACAATAAGCTCTGAGAGCCAGGACTATGCTCATTCTTGATCTACCACTTAATCTCCAGCCCCCAGCACTTAGCAGGAACACAATAAATATTTTCAAATAAATTAATGAATGTATTTTTATGTACTGTGTAATTCTTCATCAACATGAGATGTATTTTAATGGTTTCTGTTGCAGAATGAACATGGAGGAACATAACCTGTCTTTGGTGGTGGACTTATCTTTCCCAGACTTGGTCATCAATGTAGGAGAAGTAACTCTTGGGGAAGGAAACAGAAATAAGCTGCAGAAAACTCAAAGAGACCAAGAGAAGAGGAAAGTTTTAGAGGCTGCATGTGCTTTGTTAAACTCAGGAGGAGGAGTGATTCAGATGGAAATGGCAAACAAGGATGAGCATCCTGTGGAGATGGGACTGGACTTAGAGCAGTCTTTGAGAACACTTATCCAGTCTTCAGATTTGCAGGCTTTCTTTGAGACTAAGCAACAAGGGAGGCATTTCTACATTTTTGTTAAATCTTGGAACACTGGCCCTTTCTCTGAAGCCAGTTCCTCCAAGCCTCGCATTTGCAGCCTGGATTCTTCCTTATGCCTCAGATCCGGCACTTCTGTGATGCCCATGAATTCAAGGGAGGCATTTAGTTTCCTGGAAACCAGGAAAAGAAATGCAAAGCTTCCAAGGAAAGAACCTTCTAATAAAATTCTCAGGGTAAAAGAGCAAAACTTCCACTGCTCCAATCCTGCTTACCGAATTTTCCAAAGAGATCAGCTTGAGTATGGTGAAATCCTGCCTTTTCCTGAGTCTCAATACGTAGAGTTTAAGCAGTTCAGTACGAAACACATTCTAGAGTACGTAAAAAACATAATTCCAGAGTACACCTCTGCATTTGCAAACTCTGGGGGAGGCTATCTTTTTATTGGAGTGGATGATAAGACTAAGAAAGTTCTGGGATGTGCGAAAGAAAAAGTTGACCGTGACTCTTTGAAAAGGAAAATAGAAGGTGCAATAAACAAATTACCTTGTGTCCATTTTTGCCAATCCCAATGCCAGATCAGTTTCAAGGTCAAACTCTTGGACGTGTTAGCCAAGGGCGAGTTGTATGGCTATGTTTGTGTGATCAGAGTGAAGAAATTCTGTGGCGCAGTATTTTCAGAGGCTCCCAAGTCATGGATTGTGAATGGCGAGAAAGTCTGTAGCCTGACAACTGAGGAATGGGTGGGCATGATGGTGGACACAGACCCAGGTAAGGGGGGAAGTACTGCCCTCTCTGCCCTTTGTTTCCTTTAGCACCTTCATATTAAACAGGCTTTCTTTTGTTTTCTGTGACTTTGAACTTCTCGCACCCACTAAACTCCATGGTGTTTTTTTTTTGAATCTCCGAGTATCCTGCTTTCCATACATGATAAAATTTTGTTAGGTAATTAGAAGCCCAAATCAAGTGTCTTACAATAGGCAGTTTTCACATTGGAAGATGAAAAGAAAATTGGGAGGAACTGTTGCCTTGTAGTAGCTCTTACTGGCTCCAGAGTCATTTATTAATATTTCAGGAATTTTGTGATCCTGTGGTTAAACATAGTCATTTTTAAAAAGTAAGTTATATAAACTTACAATTAAATTATATAAAAAACAAACGTAGCAAATCCAAACTCACCACTTCTGAATTATTCATTACATTTGAATTGTATGTTTGCTCATGAAGTTATTCACATATATGTGTGTGGTGGAAATATTATAAAATGCTGTGCCACTGTGTGTTTCTTCTCAACTCTGCACTTAGTGATATCACACTAAGCTTGAAATTATCCATGGTGGGAATACTTACACCACGGAAATATACAAAGATGTTTACTAAAGCTACATATACATAGATGTTTACTAAAAGAATGTGCCGCATACCGTAAAAGAAATACTAACAAAACGCTATCTAAACATAGTGAAGAAATATATTGAATGGGAAACACGTTCAAACTTCCAAATAATGTCTCTTCATTGCATTGGCAACCTCCATATGCAATAAAGACTCTTGTCTACACAGGGTGAATGGGCATTATCTTGCCATTATCTCTCAAGTCACACTACCTAGACAGTCGTAGAATACACCTACTTGTAAGGCCTCTTTCAGTGGTGAAAAGATGAACTAACATGTCAGAATAACAGGAGATTTTTTCCTTTCTTAAGATCTTGTACGTTTGTCCAAAGACTTTGAATCTCAGCTGAGTCTGTCTAATGGGCCTCCTCTTAGCAGACCAGTGTACTCCATGAAAGGCCTGGAACACAAGGAAGATCTCCAGCAACTTTTATTTTCAGGTAGGAACTACGGTTTGCCTACTTGACATCATAAAGTTATCAGTTCCCATGTTACAAATGTAATGAGATATCAATAAAAAAGAGATTAATTTAATCTAGGCAGTTTTATTCTAAAGTTCCAGTGGAAAAGTAAATAAGCAAGAAGAGCCAAGAAATAAAAACCTGAAAAGGAAAAGAAAACGGGGGGCTATCTAGACATCAAATCATTATAAAGTCTCTAATAAAAATTAAAAAAAATATTGGCCTATAATTAGACCAAGGATATAGAATACAAGTTCTGGAAATAGATGCAAACATATGAGAATTTAGTTTATGATAGATTCACCTCTCAAGAAAGTGGAGAAGATGACACACAAGAAAAGAAAAGTAACTGCTCTAGATTGTAAAGACTGGGGTGGACCCCTTTCTTAATGGTGTCCTTTGTCTTAAGATTTGGTACAATATGTCTAAAATAAAAAATCAACAACTACTTAACAGAAAAATCAACAAAGACAGTTCAGAAAAAATTCAAATGGCTTTCAAACACTTGAAAAGTTGCTTATTAATTAAAATAGACAAATTAAGACAAGATACCATTTTTATCTTTGAAATGTAAAAACATTAAAGAAATCTGACATCTTTTACTGTGTATGCTGTGCTGGGGGAACACAAGCCTTCTCCTACATTACTAGTTCCCACTAAACTGGCAATATCTATAGGAACACAAATGCATTTACCCTTTCACCCAGTAATGCCACTGCTGAGACTTTATTCTTCACATATACTGCATATATACCAAATGTACAAGGTTACCTATTGTAGTATTATTATAATAGCAAAAGATTGGGGTGAGTGGGGTTAATAGCATAGTAGGATTAGTGCTCAGAATGGATACAGATTTCTATGGGAGCCTGAGGAGAGAAGGGCAGACAGGGCAGTTCTGTGAAAGATGAAAGGAGCTTATCGGGTGGCAACAGTGGAGGCGGTATCAGAGTCTCAGCACACTTCTGCAAAGGCACATGGGGAGTGTGTCAACTCGGATGCATGTGGAGAGATGGCATTTATTGAACACCAATTCTGCTCCCTGTGACTTGCTAATTGTCACGTGGAATATCAAGAAATGAAAGGGACACTTCTTGCCCTCACATAATTTACTTAGGAAGCATGTCCTATTATATAATTAAAGAAAAATAAGACCTACTCAATGATGAGATACAACACATTTGCTTTGAAATGCTTTAGTGATGCCCAGCCCGGCGTAGCTCAGTGGTTGAGCATCAGCCTAGGATCCAGGAGATCCCAGTTCAATTCCTAGTCAGGGCACGTGCCCCGGTTGGGGGCTCCATCCCCAGTTCGGGGCTGTGCAGGAAGCAGCTGATCAATGACTCTCTCATCATTGATGTTTCTATCTCTCTCTTTCTCCCTCTCCCTTCCTCTCTCTGAAATCAATAAAGATATGTTTAAAAAAACCACACACACAAACAATTTTTTTAAAAAAGAAATGCTTTAGTGATTTTCTCCATTTATCACGAGGGGTAGCTTGTGTGACTTGCAGGGCAGTACAGTAGAGTGGAAACAACAGAGGGTCTGGGCTTGGGATGCTGGCTCTGTCATTTCCTATGGGTGTGACCTGTCTGAGCTCCCATTTCTCATAAAAAAGAGAATAAATGAGTATATCTGCCTTGCACAGCTGTGAGGCCCAGAGATATTTGTAAACTCCTTAGTACAATCAACAAATTATGTTTTCTTATTTTATATTTCTTTTGGTTTCTGAAGTTCTATTTTAAACATATCCTTGTATTATTCTATTTCGTTCATTCTAAGATGTGTTTCCCCCCACCTTTCAACACCTCTAAAATCTGGGTGTCTCATAATGGATGCCGTCTCCCACTGGCTACCGTCCAGGTTGCAGACATAATCAAGTCATGTGAACACCTGGTACAAGTGGAAAGCACCAGCAACAGTGAACAATAAACAATTACCAATGAAATTTGTGCAATTTAACTTAAAATTACCACTACAAATCTGAGTCTGGTTTGTGATCAGACACCAGCACAACAGGATAAAAATCTCTTCATCGC